TCACAACAGCTAGCACAGTTATACGAGATATCTTGAAGTCAACTGATATAAAGTAATCAATATCAAGATAAAAGAAGATAAGATATTACAGAGCAATAAATTATAACTAAATAAAGAATCTAAAATAAAAAAACACAAAGAATATAACAAAGCAGCCAGGTGAATCTAAAGAGAATAAAGACAGTACCTTATACTTATACCATTATATTAAATCCTAAATTATTCGAAAAATCTATAATAAATAATAATTTATATTGACGTTCTTATCTCTAACAATCATTTCTGCACTGAAATTTCATTCAAGAAGTTTTTTCTAATCTAAAAATCAGATTATTTAAGCTCTAATCTGAACATTGACCTCTAAATGTAAAATTTATCAATTAATCATCATAAATCGTATCGTTGCCTTTTCAAATTTTTTTTCTTTAAGAAAGACTCTATATCCAATTTAATTCTTCTTTTTTCTTTAAGATTTTGCGACAATTGTTTCATCGTCGTGACACAATATAAACATGCAGAATAAATCAAATATTTATACAATAAACGATGCGCCACCCTCATACGCGGAAGCAACAGGAGTACTTGCATCAGATACACAGAATCCACGATTAGACCAAAGATATCCACATACAACAATTCATCCATCTCCGTCAGAGTCATTTCCGTATCCATATTCGCCGAATTATCAGAATTTGGATAGAATGCCTGTTCAATCTTATCAATATGAGTCAACAGAACAGCAAAATCAATCAACGGAAGTAACTTACAACAGAACTGTAATAACAAGAACAAATACAAGAGACTACAAATGTAAGTTAAAATAAATCTCATAAACAAAAACAGAAAGCAAAATACACTAAGAAAATTAGAAAAAAGCGCTATTAAAATTCGCTATATTTTTTAAGATGTAATCAAAGAAAGATTTACTTAATGAAAGATCCGACAATATTGTTATAATTAAAATAATCATTATCTTAGGATAATAATTATATTTCAAATAAAAATATTTACAATCACATTATAAAATAAATTTATTGTGACAATTATATGCATTATTTACTCATTTATTTAATATGTCTGTAAAAAATATATATAATTTAATATATAT